GGGTGACAGAGCAAGACTCTGTCTCAAAACAAAACAAAACAAAACACAATGAAAACAACAGGAAAGAAATATGTTGAAATAACTAGTATCTTCAATACAATGTTGAATAAGAGTGGACATCATTGTTCTCAATCTTAGGGGCAAAACTCTGATTTCATCATTAAATATATTAGCTGTAGGTTGCCTGGATCCATCCTGCAGACCCCAGCTGCACGATGGATGAGTAACATACATTGACACAGATCTCTTGCCTGTCAGCCAGACTAAGGGGGCTCTGCTGCCTCAGTCTTCAGTGTCACCTAGGTCAGCCAGACAAGTTTGTATTTATTTAGTACAGATTAAACGGCAAAGGTCATGAGTACACACCACTAGAAGGTAATTAACATTGCAGACCCCCTGAGTAGAGAGCAATCATGCACCCAAGGATGCTTAAAATTTAGTCTTGGGACCACATGAGTAAACAAGTTATTCAGATAAACACGTCTACATTCCCTTGTTACTTGCTTTTCTGCTATTAATGTAAGGGAAAGAGGAGTAGGCTGTCTTCAGCCAGATCTTTCACCAAAACTATGCAAACTCCCCAGCCTTCCCAGAAGGTTTGTAACTATTTCCTTTAACTTTACAATTTCTCCTACCATTCTTACTGAACCCCCATAGTAAGTGTTTTGTGTATTTCCTTAAAAATTATTTTATTTTATTTTATTTTTTGTAGAGAAGTCTTGCTATGTTGCCTTACATTGGTCTCAAACTCCTGGGCTCAAGCAATCCACCCATCTTGTCCTCCCAAAGTCTGGGATTCCAGGCATGAGCCAGCACGCCTGGCCTATGGATGCCTTTTCTCAGTTTCAGGACTTCCCTTCTATTCCTAGTTGGCTGAGAGTCTTTTTTTTCCTTTCATGAATAGGTTAGGTATTAAATTTTGTTAAATGCTTTTTCTGCATCTATTGAGATGGTCATATGGATTTATAGCTTCTTAGTATAGTAAATTATATTGACTGATTTAAAAATTCTAAGCCAACCTTGTATTCCTGGGATGAAACTAACGTGGTCATGATGTATTATCGTTTTTATATACTACTGTATTCATTTTGCTAAGTTTTAAGAGGATTTTTGAAAAAAATAAAAAGGTTTTTGTGTCTAGATCCATGAAGGATACGTGTGTAGTTTCTTTTCTTATAACATCTTTGTGTCATTTGGTATCCGGTAATCCTAGCCTCATAAGATGAGTTGGTAAATGATCTCTCCTTCTCTATATACTAGGAACATTTGTACAGAATTGATATTGTTTCTTCCTTAAGTGTTCAATGAAGCCACGTAGACCTGTTGTTTTCTTTGTGGAAACATTTTCTTATTAAGAATTCAAGGGCCGGGCGCGGTGGCTCAAGCCTGTAATCCCAGCACTTTGGGAGGCCGAGGCGGGTGGATCACGAGGTCAAGAGATCGAGACCATCCTGGTCAGCATGGTGAAACCCCGTCTCTACTAAAACTACAAAAAATTAGCTGGGCATGGTGGCACATGCCTGTAGTCCCAGCTACTCAGGAGGCTGAGGCAGGAGAATTGCTTGAACCCAGGAGGTGGAGGTTGCGGTGAGCCGAGATCACGCCATTGCACTCCAGCCTGGGTAACAAGAGCGAAACTCTGTCTCCAAAAAAAAAAAAAAAAAAAAAGAAAAAAAAAAGAATTCAATGTCTATGCCAGACGAGATGGCTCACACCTATAAATCCAGAGCTTTGGGAGGTTGAGGGGGGAGGAATGCTTGAGCCCAGGAGTTTGAAAACAGCCTGATAAATATAGCAAGAACTTCACCATTGGACTCAAACTTAGAGCAAAACGCTGTCATAAGAAAAAAAAATTCAGGTTTTTTTTTTTTCTCTTTTTTTCAGATGGGATCTGGCTCTGTTGCTCAGGCTGGAGTGCAGTGGTGTGATCTAGGCTCACTGGAACCTCTGCCTCTTGGGTTCAAACGATTCTCCTGCCTCAACCTTCCAAGTAGCTGATTACAGGCACACAGCACCATGCCCAGCTAATTTTTGTATTTTTAGTGGAGATGGGGTCTTACCATGTAGACCAGGCTGGTCTCCATTTCCTGACCTCAAGTGATCCACCCACCTCAGCCTCCCAAAATGCTGGGATTACAGGTATGAACCACTGCACCCAGCTGTCTCATTTTCCTTAGCAGGCTTTGGTCATTTGTGTTTTCCAAGGAAACTGTCCATTTCATCTAACTTATTAAATGTATTCACATAAAGGTTTTCATAATCTACCCTATTTTAATTTCCATACAATTTGTAGCAGTGTCTCTTCTGCTCTTTCTGGTGTGGTTAATCTGTGTATTCTCTCTATTATTCCTAATCGGTCTAGCCAGAGATTTATCAATTTTAGTTTGTAGAACCTACTTCTGGTTGTGTTGACTTTTGCTAATGTTTTTGTTTTCTATTTCATTTATTTTGGCTTTTTTTTTTTTAGATGGAGTCTCGCTCTGTTGCCCAGGCTGGCGTGCAGAGGCATGATCTCAGCTCACCGCAACCTCTGGCTCCCAGGTTCAAGCAATTCTCCCACATCAGCCTGTTTTGGCTTTTATCTTTATTATTTATTTTCTCCTGCTAATTTTGGTTTTACTTGGTTCTTCCTTTTTTGGTTTTACTTGGCTCTTCCTTTGTGGTACAAGCCTCAGCAGGGTGCAGTAGCTTACACCTGTAATCCCAGCACTTTGGGAGGCTGAGGTGGGAGGATTCCTTGAGGCCAGGAGTTCAAGACCAGCCTGGTAAACATGGTGAGACCCCTTCTCTACTAAAAATACAAAAATTAGCTGGGCATGGTGGCACATGCCTGTGATTTCAGCTACTCAGGAGGGTGAGGCATGAGAACTGCTTGAAACCAGGAGGCCAAGGTTGCAGTGAGCTGAGATGGCACCACTGCACTCCAGCCTGTATGACAGAGTGAGATTTTGTCTTAAAAAAAAAAAAAAAAAAAAAAAGTAATGCTTTAATTTTTTTTGTAATAATTTTTTATTATTAGAAAAAAAAAGAGATATTTTTTCTTTTGTAATATGTCAAAGTGGTGCTATAAATTTCCCTCTTAGCACTACTGTGGCTGCATCTCAGAAAATTTGATATGTCATGTTTTCACTTTCATTCAGTTCAAAATATGATCGAAATTTCCTTGTGATTACATACTTGACCCATGGGTTACTTAATTTCCAAATATGGGAGAATTTTCCAGATATCATTCCATTATATTCTTTTCTTTTCTTTTTCTTTTTCTTTCCTCTAGTCACTGTTGTTTGTTTTTTTGAGATGGAGTGTTGCTCTGTTGCCAGGCTGGAGAGCAGTGGTACAATCTTGGCTCACTGCAACCTCTCCATCCTGGATTCAAGCAATTCCCTTGTCTCAGCCTCCCGAGCAGCTGTGACTAGAGGTCTGCACCACCATGCCTGGCTAATTTTTTGTATTTTGGTAGAGCTGGGGTTTCACCATGTTGGCCAGAATGGTCTTGATCTCCTGACCTTGTGATCTGCCTGCCTTGGCCTCCCAAAGTGCTGGGATCACAGGCTGAGCCACCATGCCAAGCCCATTCCATTATTATTTTCTATTTTTCTTTTTTCTCCTATTTATTTATTTACTTATTTTCAGTTCCCTCTCAGGCTTTAAATTCTGTTATTATTTTCTAGTTGAATTCCATTGTGTTCAGAGATGTACTTTTTATGATTGAAATCCTTTAAAATTTATTTATTTATTTATTTTAAGATGGAGTCTCACTCTGTTGCCCAGGCTGGAGTGCAGTGGCCTGATCTCGGCTCACTGCACTCTGCCAACCAGGTTTAAGTGATTCTCCTGCCTCAGCCTCCTGACTAGCTCAGATTACAAGGGCAAGCCACCACTCCTGGCTAATTTTTGTATTTTTAGTAGAGATGGGGTTTCACTGTGTTGCCCAGGCTGGTCTTGAACTCCTGACTTCAGGTAATCCACCTGCCTTGGCCTCCCAAAGTGCTGGGATTATAGGCATGCATGAGCCACCACTCCTGGCCTCTTTTACATTTATTAAGACTTGTTTTATGCCTCCAAATATGGTATAACTTGGTGGATATGCACTTGAAAAGAATACATATTCTGCTGTTGTTGAATATTCCATCAATGTTGTTTATGTGGAATTGGTTAATAGCATTGTTTGAATCTTGTATACCTTCACTGAGGTATCACTGCCTTTTACTTGTGAGCATTTATATCATTTATATTTAATATAATTATTGATATGATTGAGTTTAAATCAATTTTGTTATTGGTTTTTCATTTGTACCATTTGTCTATTGGTCTTTTTTCTCTTTTCTTTTGTATTTGGAGACAGATTTGCCCTCTGTTACCCAGAGTGGAGTGCAGTGGAGCTATCACAGTTCACTGCAGGTGGGCATTGACCCATTTTTCTGCATCTTTTTTTTTTCCAAAACAGGGCCTCCCTGTGTTGCCCAGGCTAGAATATCAAACTCCTGGGCTCAAGTGATCCTCCTGCCTTAATCTCCCGAAGTGTTGGGAATACAGGTGTAAGTCACCAGGGCCAGTCCGTTTTCCCCCCCGCCACTTAAGTACATAATTCAATGCCAACAGCTCTCTTTTTTCAACACTTTAAGCATGTCACTCCACGGGGAAGCTGTCTGGAGACATCCATAAGCCTCATCCTCCAGGACCACAGGACAGGCGGGACAGCCCTTAGGGCCGCCGCGCCCCTTAAGCTTCCTTTGAAGGAGACAAAGACCCGAGACAGTCCAGTGGCGAGGCCGAGGGAGGTGGGACGATGGGGCAGGGAGGCCCGAGGTGTCCCCGCCCTTTAGGATCGTCCCAACCTTTGGACCCCCCTCACGTTTGGGAATGTTGAGGAGTGTTGAAATCGCCAAGACGCGAGTCACGGGCAAGAAGCCACGGTCGTTTCGCCCCTTGCTCCGCGCGAGTGCAGAGCGCGTGGGCGGTGTTGGGCACCTTCGGCCACGCCCTCAGCTCCACCCCCCTGTGGGCGGGGCCCGAGCCCGTCCCTAAAGCCACGGGACCGCCCGCTCCGGGGCTGGAGCTGCCGTCCGCTGCGCGCTGCGCCCGGGTTGTCGCCGTCTCCCGTTGCCGCCGTCATGTCCCAGCAGCTGTCCCGGGCCCGGCCCGCCACGGTGCTGGGCGCCATGGAGATGGGGCGCCGCATGGACGCGCCCACCAGCGCCGCAGCCATGCGCGCTTTCCTGGACCGCGGCTACACCGAGATAGACACCGCCTTTGCCTACGGCGACGGCCAGTCCGAGACCATCCTGGGCGGCCTGGGGCTCGGGCTGGGCGGCGGCGACTGCAGAGGTAACAGTGGCCCCTGATCCTCCCCCTGCCCTGTGCAAAGCTGAGCCCGTCCCCAGTCGTGCACCGCGCTGCCCCCCGGCCCCAGGCAGCACCGACGGCTTCGACCCCCATCCCACTCCCGTCCACCCCGCAGCTCGGGAAACCCCAGGCTCCTCAGGCACATCGAGCTCCGGACAACTGGACGGTGCTTTGTCCAGACTCCTTTTCTCTGGTCTTGCCTTCCGGGAGGTAACCCAGCACCCTCATGGAAGCCTGGATGACTTGGTCTCGCCTGGAATGACTTGTTGGCTAGTCCCTCCCTGGGGCACGAAAACCATTGGAATCTGGCATTGTGCAGCTCCTGTCCCCACCTGGGCCCTTCAGGTGCCCTTGACAGGCCTGATCTGCAGACATTTTGATCTTATCGCCTGGCAGTTCATGGCACAGTGCTAGATCAGACTTTGGACCCAGCACACTCTCTACTTCCTCCTCTTCCTCTCATACCAGTCGTAGCCTTTGACTTTGCTCTGAGTATCTTGTGGTAGTCACCAGGGTGCTTCACCAGGGTGGCAGTGCCTGGGAGCCTGGGCAGCTCCCTCAGCACGATGGGGAATTTGGGGTGGTACAGGATGGAACTGCCCTCTCTGTGGGAGGCTCTGTCTGAGGCTATTGGAGACAAACGGACACTAACCCACTCCAGGAAGCTCCAGTTCTAGAGATGGCTGGTGAGCCCAGAATGAGCCCTTTCTGGGAGGGACTCCGTGAAGAAAGAATGGATAGGAGTTTGCCAGGAGGAGTAAGAGGGGCAAGGGCATCAGGGCGGTGGGCGTGGGTGTGCAAAGGCAATGTGATTTGGCAGTTCTGAGGGTGCTGGAGGAGGCAGGTGTAGCCCTAGGGGAGGATGTGTGTATAGGGAAGGAGGAGCGGCTCTCAGTCCGACGCCATTTGCAGTGCTTAGGCACACAGTGAAGGCTGGGAAACCTTAGCTGTTCCTTTGTTCTCAATATTGGAACCTTTTGCCTCCTTCCACTCTGAGTGTCTGCGTGGAGTCTTGTCCATTCCTCCTCTGCCCTCCTGCCAGCCTAAGATAATTTCTAAAAGTGTGAAAAGTGGGAAGAGGACTGTCCACTCACCTGTTAGTCCAGCCCACTAGGAACTTTTTTTTCACCACATGGTGCATCCCAAACAAAAGAAGCCTAGTGCACGCATCTCAGTGTCACACTTTTTTTTTTTTTTTTTTTTGAGATGGAGTCTCGATCTGTTTTCCAGGCTGGAGTGTGGTGGTGCGATCATGGCTCACCGCAACCTCTGCCTCCCGGGTTCAAGCAATTCTCCTGCCTCAGCCTCTGGAGTAGATGGGATGCAAGCACACAGCACCATGCCCAGCTAATTTTTATAGTTTTGGTAGAGACAGGGTTTTGTCATGCTGGCCAGGTTGGTCTCGAACTCCTGACCTCAGGTGATTTGCCCGTCTTGGCCTCCCAAAATTCTGGGATTATAGGCTTGAGCCACCATGCCCAGCCTCAGTGCTACACTCTTTCCAGATCACCTGGCTGCCACTCAGTGAGAGCTCTGATCTTATTTCAGATTTTCTGATTTTTTTTTTTTTTTTTTTTTGAGATGGAGTCTTACTCTATCACCCAGGCTGGAATGCAGTGTCTCAATTTTGGCTCACTGCAACCTCTGCCACCCGGGTTCAAGCAATTCTCCTGCCTCAGCCTCCCGAGTAGCTGGGATTACAGGAGCCTGCCACTGTGCCTGACCAGTTTTTGTATTTTTAGTACAGATGGGGTCTCCCATCTTGGCCAGGCTGGTCTTGAACTTCTGACCTCGTGATCCACCCGCCTTGGACTCCCAAAGTTCTGGGATTACAGGCATAAGCCACCGCACCTGGCTTTTTTTTTTTTTTTTTTTTTTTAAGACAGGGTCATGTTCTTTTGCCTAGGCTGGAGTGCAGTGGTGCGATCATGGCTCATTGCAGCTTTGACCTCTCAGGGCTCAAGTAACCCTCCCACCTCGGCCTCCCAAGTAGCTGGGATTACTACAGGACTGTGCCACCACACCCGACTAATTTTTTATATTATTCATCGAGACCGGAGTCTAACTTTGTTGTCCAGGCTGGTCTCAAACTTCTGGGCCTCCTGCCCTGGCCTCCCAAAGTGCTGAGATTACAGGTGTGAGTCACTGCAGATCTGCACCCTCTGCCTGGCCCTTAGTTCTGATTTTTTTTTTCTTTTCTTTTTTAATCCATCTCTTCCATCTTTGAGTCCAAGTTTGGCTGGGCCAACGTCCTCAGATCTCAGATCTGAAGTGAAGTGCACACTGAGAAGCAGAGGCATGATTTGGGAAAATTCCTAATGAATAGTACCTTAAACCTGCTCCCTGCCAGATCTCAAGGGCTCCAGTGACTGCCCTCCTGCCAGCCTATGTGACTTTCTAAGTGTGAAAAGTGGGAAGAGGACTCTCCACGCACCTGTTAGTTCGGCCCACTTGGAACTAAGATCCTTTTTTTTTTTTTTTGAGACAGGCTCTCATTCTGTTGTCCAGGCTGGAGTGCAGTGGCATGATCTTTGCTCATTACAGCCTTGATCTCCCAGCGTCACGTGATCCTCCCAACTCAGCCTCCCAAGTAGCTGAGATTACAGGCATGCGCCATCATGCCTGGCCAATTTTTGTATTTTTTGTAGAGATGGGGTTTCACCATTTTGCCCAGGCTGCTCTTGAACACTTGGGCCCAAGAGATACACCCACCTGGGCCTCTCTAAGTGCTGGGATTATGAGGGTTAGCCACTTTGCCTATTCTCCAGCTAGGATTTTTTTCTTTTTCTTTTAAGACAGAGTCTTGCTCTGGCACACAGGCTGGAGTGTAGTGGCAAGATCTCGGCTTACTGCAACCTCTCCTTCCTGGGTTCAAGCGATTCTTGTGCCTCAGCCTCCCAAGTAGCTGGGACTACAAGTGTGAGCTACTGAAGCCAGCCTCCAACTAGGATTCTTAATAGGGGGCAGAGCACAGTGTGTTCAGCCCACTTCTTTTGTTTTTAGAGAGTTTTGCTCTGTCTCCTAGGCTTGAGTGCAGTGGCATGATCTGGGCTCACTGAAACCTCCACCTCCCAGGTTCAAGTGATTCTTCTACCTCAGTCCTCCATGTAGCTGGGATTACAAGCATGCACCACCATGCCCATGTAGGTTTTGTATTTTTTGTTGGCAAGGCTGGTCCCAAACTCCTGACCTCAAGTGACTTGCCCACCTTGGTCTCCCAGAGTGCTGGGATTATAGGTGTCAGCCACTATGCCTGGCCTTAAGCTCAGTCCTGAATCACTTGATTGGCCACTCACTGATCTGTTCTATCCAGTAAGTCTAATTGATACCTGCCTTTCCTTCCCAGGGGCCCATGTGAGGCCTCTTAGGTCTCTTTTCTTAATTCCTGCTGCAGTCTCCTTGCTGATCTCCCCATTTCCCGGCCTGCTTTCTGTCCATGCTGCATTCAGAATCATCTCCAGAACCACAACCTCTTTCCCCATCTTGAAAGCCTTCAGAGTTGGCCGGGCGTGGTGGCTCACACCTGTAATCCAAGCACTTTGGGAACCCAAGGCGGGTGGATCACCAGGTCAGGAGATCGTAACCATCCTGGTCAACATGGTAAAACCCGGTCTCTACTAAAAATACAAAAATTAGCCAGGCATGATGGAACATGCCTGTAATCCCAGCTACTCAGGAGGCTAAGGTGGGAGAATCGCTTGAACCAGGGAGTTGGAGGTTGCAGTGAGCCGAGATCGCATCACTGCCCTCCAGCCTGGTGACAGAGCAAGAATGCATCTCAAAAAAAAAAAAAAAAAGAGACTTCAGAGGCTCCCTACAGCCCCCTAAAGTCCAGGCTCCCTGGGGTGCACTCAGGGCCCTTTGGCATCGGATCTGTGGTCTCTTCTTTTGCACCAAGGGCCTCCGTGGACCTGGTGCTCTGGAAACATGACTCCCACACGTGGCTTTCCACACACCTCTTGCTTGCCTCTGAGCTTTGGCTACGTCCCCACACTCTGGAATGAGCTGTTCACCATTCCCCACCTGGTGGCCTCTGACTTCCCCTTGGAGATTCTGATTCAGATTCTAAGGCAAGCCTTTCTGCGCTCCCAGTGGGCCTCGCACCCCTATGCTGTGGGTTTCTCTAGTGCCCTGTGCGTCTCCCTGCCTCACTTACTCTAGAGTGGCCCCTGAGGCCGTGAGCCCTGGACAGCAGGGATCAGCTCCTCTCCTAGCCCCTCATGCCTGGCACATCCAGCTGCACCACGGTGATAGTAGCGGCAGCTCATAATGAGCACTTTTATCCAAGTTCTGATCCATCCTCAGGATCTCTCTGCAAGATCGCACCATTTTCACTGTCACATTGATAGTTACAGGAGGCAGTCAAATGCCTCTGCAGATCGGGGCAGGTCCCCCGTGAAACCCCACCTACAAGCCGAAGACAGTTTAAAGCCTGAAAGCCAAGCTACAGGTGAAGTCCTTGGACAGGATTGAGAAGCTGTCTTCCTGCTTGGCACACTTTCCTCTGGTTGGTCTCCGCTCTTCACCTATTTCACACATACCCACCCTTTCCTAATCGGTTTTCTACAGTGCTGTGGCCACCTGTGAGTGGTGTCTTGGTGTGTTTGCCTTAACCTTTTTTGCATACTAGCACACCAATCAGCACGCACTCCCCATTCTGAGTCCATAAAAAGCCCTGGACCCAGCCACACTGAGTAAAGTACCCACCGAATTGCAGGGGTGAAGGACCCTGAACTGCCCTACCCCTGGGTCCCTCTCCACTGAGAGCTCACCCTTCATTTGTCATCATATCCTCACTCTTTTTGGACGTATGTCAAGAGCTCAGGAATCTCCGAACACAGGTATAAGCTATCGTACAGACAGGCTGGGGCGCATCTGGCCCAGCCACAGACTGAGCCGATACACAAGCCAGACTTGGCCAGACCCAGGGGGCAGGGTGCCTCCAGCGGCAGGTAGTGGGGTCTGGGCAGGGGGCCATCACTGACTGGAGATCCCAGCTGGAAAAGTGACCGAGAAAATTCCTGCGTCAACGTTACAGTTGAAGGGATCAAGACGCGGGCTAGGTAACTTGGTGAAGATTGCAGAGTTAGTCATAGCTGAGCTTGAATATGAACCCAGCCCTCTCTCTTAACCATTATACCAGACCCCATTCCAATGTTTGATCAACTGGCCTGAATTTTCTTTTCTTTCTTTTTTTCTTTTCTTTTTTTTTTTTTTTTTGAGATGGAGTCTCAATCTGTCGCCCAGGCTGGAGTGCAGTGGCGTGATCCTGGCTCACTGCAACCTCCGCCTCCTGGGTTCAAGCAATTCTCCTGACTCCTGAGTAGCTGGGATTACAGGTATGCACCGCTGTGCCCCGCTCATTTTTATATTTTTGGTAGAGATCATGTTTCACCATGTTGACCAGGTTGGTCTCAAATTCCTGACCTCAGGCGATCCACCTACCTCAGCCTCCCAAAATGCTGGGATTATAGGCATGAACCAATGCGCCCAACCCTGAATTTTCATTTCTCTCTCCTCTCAGTGAAAATTCATACCAAGGCCAATCCACTGTTTGGGAACTCACTGAAGCCTGACAGTCTCCGGTTCCAGCTGGAGACATCGCTGAAGCGGCTGCAGTGTCCCCGAGTGGACCTCTTCTACCTGCACATGCCAGACCACAGCACCCCGGTGGAAGAGACACTGCGTGCCTGCCACCAGCTGCACCAGGAGGTGAGGGGACCCCTGAACTCTGGGAGGTGGTCCGCCACTGCTCTCCTTATCCTGATCCCACTCATGAGGGCAGAGGCACCAGGGTGGTTCCAGGGTGCAGCAGGAAACAGCCCCACTCCCAGGGGCCCCACCCTGCCTCCCCTTCCTGGTCTGGGCTGCAGGGTTCTGACTGCGGCCTCACCTGTGCAGGGCAAGTTCGTGGAGCTTGGCCTCTCCAACTATGCTGCCTGGGAAGTGGCTGAGATCTGTACCCTCTGCAAGAGCAACGGCTGGATCCTGCCCACTGTGTACCAGGTGAGGACTGGGGCTAGAGAGGCCACAATCTCCGGGACTCCTGCTCAGCATGGGCTCTCTTTGCCCCTCTGACTGCCCCCCGTGCCCTCTGCATAGCAGCCACTCCCCTGCTGAAACCTGCAGATGGCTCCCAGGTACCCTCAGGATGCCGTTCAAGCTCCTCAGCCTGGCCACTGGGCATCGGCTTCCTTCCTGCCTGAGTGTGCACCTTGGTCCCTTTCTTCCCCAACTCGCCCTGCTCTCAGCCTGGAACCCACCCTCCCCGCCACTGCCCCTTCTCTGGGAGAAGGGTTCAGGTCTCACACAGGGGTGTCTTCCCTTGGAAGCTTTTCTAGATGGGCCCAGAAGACCCTGAGACCTCACGTCCTCGTTTACCTCCTTATCACTCATTCTACAAATGTTTGTACATCTGCTGGGTGCCAGGTACTGGTCACAGAACTTTCTAGTATATTATGTTTGCCTCTACTTGATTATAACTGTTTATACTTGACCTTACTATAAATCCTTGAGGGAAGGGACCTTGTCCTTTTGGCTTAAGCATATAAATCTGACAACCAGCTTATAGTTGGTGCTCATAAAAGTTGGCTGAATGAATGAATTTTCCTTGGGCATAAGCCCCCTTCACCAGCACCAGTAAGAATAAGTATGTGCCCAGATGGTTAAGGTCCTAGAATTGTTAACGTCTGAAATAAGGGTTCTCCAAGGGTAAATCTGAAGTCTCTTCTTCTGACACGTCCCCGCTCTCCCCGGGGTCCCTCTCCCTGCAGGGCATGTACAACGCCATCACCCGGCAGGTGGAACCGGAGCTCCTCCCCTGCCTCAGGCACTTTGGACTGAGGTTCTATGCCTACAACCCTCTGGCTGGTACGTGGAGCATTCCTGGCACTGTCTCAGCCTATTCTCACCCCACTGATGCCCAGCCCGGGACGTGGGAAGCAGGGAGGGTTTGACAAGAGGCTGGGCTGCGTCCTTCACCCCTCCTGGGTCCCTGCCCCTTCCCTAGTCCAGAGCCCTGAGGGACATGGCAGCTTCTGGGGCACTCTGGGACTGGGGGCTGATTGCTGCCTTCCCACAGGGGGCCTGCTGACCGGGAGGTACAAGTATGAGGACAAGGATGGGAAACAGCCCCTGGGCCGCTTCTTTGGGAATAGCTGGGCTGAGACCTACAGGAATCGGTGAGCGGGGGGTGCCTGGTGAGGATGGCTATGGTGGGGTCCGCTTATGCGGAAAGAAGTCCTGGGCTGCTCCTGGGGTGAGGCCTTTCCTCACTGCTGCACCTCCTCCCCTGCACTCCTTCGGGAATTCCCAAACCCTCTGTGGGTTTTCTTGTTGCCTTGAGACCTCCAGGAGTAAAGGAGGCTCCCTGGACTTTGGGGTCTTGAAGTCGTAGCTCTTTCCTGAAAAATCACCTGCTAGGAAGGAAGGAAAGAGTCCTGGGGGAAGGTCTGCTCCATCTGAGCGGCCGCTGTGTCCCTAGGGAAAGTAAGCTCAGGCTGATGAGTCCTCAGGAGTAAAGATGCGTTGGGGTCTCTGGTGAGGGGGCTGGCATCCTGGGTGCTTCTGGTGCCCAGTGAAGTGGGAGAACTATGACTCTAGAGGACATCCGCTCCTCAGGACCACAGGGTGTGGGTGGGGCAGTGGCCCTGGATGGCTCTTTGGTTGTGGCTCCCAGTGTGACCCCCATGGTACTGATCCCTGTGCCACTGTCCCCCCTTCCCAGCTACTGGAAGGAGCATTACTTCGAGGCCATTGCCCTGGTGGAGAAGGCCCTGCAGGCCGCGTATGGCGCCCACGCCCCCAGCATGACCTCGGCTGCCCTCCGGTGGATGTATCACCACTCACAGCTGCAGGTAGGCAGCAACCTGGGTGCTCAGCTTCTGCCCTTCCAAGGGGTACCAACATCACCTTTAGGTGAAGGCTAAAACATTTGTTTTCTTGATTCCTCAGAAAGTTCTCTTTCTTCCAGCTCTCACAAACACTCTTCCCACTGGTCTTTTTCTATTTTTTATTATTTTGGCAACAGAGTCTCCCTCTGTCACCCAGGCTGGAGTACAGTGGTGCAATTTTGGGTCACTGCAACCTCCGCCTCCTGGGGTCAAGCGATTCTCCTGCCTCGGCCTCCTGAGTAGCTGGGATTACAGGCCTGCACCACCATGCCCAGCTAATTTTTTGTATTTGTAGTAGAGATGGGTTTCACCATGTTGCCCAGGCTGGTCTCGAACTCCTAAGCTCAGATAATTTGATTTGTCCTCCTCAGACTCTGAAAGTGCTGGGGTTACAAATGTGAGCCACTGTGCTTGGCTTTCCCACTGGTCTTTGATTGTATCTGAGTGTCAGGATTTGTTTATTTTACTTATTTATTACTATTATTTTTTGTCTAAACATTCCACAATGCAGGAGTGTCAGGATTTGTAATGAGGGCTTCGGTACAGGGATTTCCTTATTCTTAGGCTTTACGAAATATGATTATCCAGTATTATTGATGAGGAAACTGAGGTTCATTCAGCTATTAAAGGGGCAGACATTTTAACACAGTTTGAATGTAGAGCCCACTAGTCTCATTTTTTTGGTGGAGGCTGGAGTTTCCCTCTCTCGGTGGCTCATGCCTTCCTCATTCAAATTTATATCCAGCTCCAGCCTTAGATGTTGGCTAGTGTCTGGCATATATACAGTCGGTGATCAATAAATGGGTGCTGAGTGCTCTACATAATTTTTCACAACCATAACCATGCTGAAAATAGAGAAGAGGTTGCAAACATTTTCTCCCATTCTGTAGGCTGCCTGTTCAATCTGGCGACAGTTTCTTTTGCAGTGCAGAAGCTCTTTAGTCTAATTCGATCCCATTTGTCTATTTTGCTTGTTGCCATTGCTTTCAGTGTTTTAGTTATGAAGTCTTTGCCCATGCCTATGTCCTGAATGATACTGCCTAGGTTTTCTTCTAGGGTTTTTATGGTTTTAGGGCTTATGTTTAAGTCTTTAATCCATGCTAATTTTTGTATAAGGTATAAGGAAGGGATCCAGTTTCAGCTTTCTGCACATGGCTAACCAGTTTTGCAATCTATCCATCTGACAAAGGGCCAATATCCAGAATCTACATAGAAATTAAACAAATTTACAAGAAGAAAACAAACGACCCTATCAAAAAGTAGGTGAAGGATATGAACAGGCACTCCTCAAAAGAGGACATTTATACAGCAAACATTTGAAAAAAAGCTCATCATCACACTGTGGAAGACAGTGTGGTGATCCCTCAAGGATCTAGAACTAGAAATACCATTTGACTCAGCAGTCCCATTACTGGGTATATATCCAAAGGATTATAAGTCATTCTACTCTGAAGACACATGCACATGTATGTTCATTGTGGTACTGTTCACAATAGCAAAGACTTGGAACCAAACCACATGTCCATCAATGTTAGACTGGATAAAGAAAATGTGGCACACATACACCGTGGAATACTATGCTGCTGTAAAAAAGGATGAGTTCATGTCCTTTGCAGTGTCATGGATGATGTTCAAACTGTCATCCTCAGTAAACTAACACAAGAACAGAAAACCAAACACCGCCTATTCTCGCTTGTAAGTGGGAGTTGAACAATGAGAACACATAGACACAGGGAGGGGAACATCACACACCGGGGCCTGTCAGGGTTGAGGGGCTAGGGGACGGATAGCATTAGGAGAAACACCTCATGTAAATGACAGGTTGATGGGTGCAGCAAACCACCATGGCACGTGTGTAGCTATGTAACAAACCTGTACGTTCTGCACATGTACTGCAGAACTTAAAAGTGTGTAAAATAAGAAAGTAGAAAATAGAGAAGAGGATTGAGTCTCAGAGAGGTTTAATAACATAGTCATGTTTACACAGCTGCTGTGGGCAGAACTGGGCTGTGAATGTAGGTCTGCCTGGAAGCGCCCTGTGGCAGTAGGGGAGAGGATACAGTTTCACGTCACATGGGTACAGCTATCCAAGGCACCTTAAGTTCTTTCTGGACATATGGCGTATAAGAAAGCCCAAATCTCAGCAGGGAGGTGGCCGGGAGGGGTGTGAGTGGAGTCGCCATGCAGCGGAAGAGGGTTGAAGTCTGGCTGTCTCCCTTGCAGGGTGCCCACGGGGACGCGGTCATCCTGGGCATGTCCAGCCTGGAGCAGCTGGAGCAGAACTTGGCAGCGGCAGAGGAAGGGCCCCTGGAGCCGGCTGTCGTGGACGCCTTTCATCAAGCCTGGCATTTGGTTGCCCTCGAATGTCCCAACTACTTCCGCTAGGCCCACTGTGGCTGAGGCTGCCCCAGGCTTTTCTGTCACCTCCTTTGCTCACACTTTCTCTAATTTAGAACTGCCTCAATAAATTCTTAGGAACAGAACTATTTGGACAAAAATCTAACAGTAGAGTCACCACCAAATGAAGAATAAAACCTCCCAAGATGCTGTGTTAGTCTGCTTGTCTTGCTATAAAAAAAATACCTGAGACCAGGCGCAGTGGCCCACCCCTATAAACCCAGAACTTTGGGAGGCTGAGGTAGGCGGATCACCTGAGGTCAGGAGTTCAAGACCAGCCTGGCCAACATGGTAAAACCCTGCCTCAACTAAAAAATACAAAAAATTAGCTGGGCATGGTGGCGGGTGCCTGTAATCCCAGCTACTCAGGAGGCCGAGGCAGAAGGGTCGTTTGAATCTGGGAGGCAGAGGTTGCAGTGAGCCGAAATTGTACCACTGTGTTGCTCCACTGCACTCCAGCCTGGGTAACAGAGCAAGACTTCATCTCAAAAAAAAGTAAAAATCCCTGAGACTGGGTAATTTATAAAGAAAAGAGGTTTCTTTGGCTCATGGTTCTGCAGTCTCTACAAGGAAGCATGGTGCTGGCACGTGTTCCTGATGAGGGTCTCAGGAAGCTTACAGTCATGGCAGAGGGGGAGGCAGAGCCAGCATGTCACATGGCGAGAGAGGGAGCAAGAGACAGAGAGGGGATGAAATTGCAGGCTCTCTTAAATAACCAGATCCTGTGTGAACTCACAAGTCACTCATTACCGTACAGATAGCACCAAGCCATTCAAGAGGGATCTACCCCCGTACCCTAACACCTCCCAGCAGGCCCACCTTTAACTTCGGGGATCACATTTCAACATGAGATTTGGGGGGGGACAAATTATCCAAATGATATCATTGTGCCAGTAGCCCCTCAAATGTCATGTTCTTCTCACATTGCAAAATACAGTCATTCCTTTCCAACAGTCACCCAAAGCCTTACCGTGTTCCAGCATCAACTCAATCAAAAGTCTGTTGGATGGGCCCCCTTGTGGCAAGATGGCTAGCGAGGGTACACTTTCTGCAGTCCAGGAAGTAAAAATCGTGTTGCCAAAAGATCCTTTGTCTCAGTGCTAATTTTTCTTTGTGGCACTGAGCTTCTGTTTCCAACACGTTGGCACCCTAGATGGGGACCCCCATTCCCTTCTGGGGTGGTCTCCAGCTGAGACCCACCTGGTGCAAAAAATAAATTAACCGGGTCTCTCAGCAATGTGGGAAAAAAGAAAAGCTTCAAGCTTTGGTAGAAATCCTAAAGTTGAAGTGTGCATGCGAGACAGCAGTGTGAGTGTTTCCTCTCTGCAAGCTCTGGGATAGCTTCATAAGGCCTAGAGGTTGGATAGAGCAAAGCAAAGTGAAGAGGAGGGAGAGAGACCTCCCAAAGGGCGGTGGGGGGACAGCTGGAATCCTCCCCTGGAAAAAGAAAAGCGAAGGTAGCCGAGAAGGTTCCGGAGGAGCCCCAGTAAGGGCCCCTGCGGCGGCCGCAGCGGTGCCTGCAGCTAGGCCACCTGCACGTCGGGGCGGGGCCCAGGGAAGCAAGGTCGCAGGTGCACGTCGGGGAAGCAACGTCGCAGGTGCACGGGGGCCGGGCCGCTCTGAGTGGCAGCGCGCCCAGGTGGCGCACCTGACAAGTGCTGGGGGGCTGCCCAAGGCTAAGCAGAAAGCAGCGTGGTGGAGGTCGCCCGCGAGGCCGCTAGACATGGCCCGGGGTGCCACAAAGGCAGCAGGAGGGGCCGGGACAGGCTGGCTGAGCAATGGCCGCCGCAGCAGCAAGACGGTCCGAAGCCCTGTACCGGGAACCTTGTGGGGCAGACGGGCACAGCACCCCCTGCCTGGCTGCCTGCACCCTGAGGAGGACCCCGGGGCACAAGAAAACCAGCAACAGCAGCCCAAAGCAAACCCCGCTCCGGCCAGCAAAATGTGGAGCAAGAAAGCTGAGGTATGTTGAAAAATTGTAAGAGAAAGTGTGTGTAAAAGAGAGAGAGAGAAAGAGTTAAAAAAAAAAAAAAAAAAAAAAAGGCTTTTTCTTTTGAAACTCAGGCAAAACAACTAAGCCAAAACATGTTAAAAAAAAGTTTAAAGAGGAAAATTATAAAGTAAAAGAGGAGGGAATTGTGGGAAGTATAAAAGTTCCTCTTTAAAGTTTTCTTTCTTGCTGAAGAATAAATCATAAGTGTGCTAATAATTTTGTTAAGCCCTATCCTGTGTAGCTGTTAGACATGCCACGCTTACAGGCACATGGCATATTCGATGTCCTTGTACTTTAACCAAGCTATCTGTGCTGGGAGTACTCCCAGGCATGTCCCAGATCTCCATTGCTTTTACCTGTTTGGAAAAGTTCGTTGTTAGCCAATCAGGTTTTAGTTTAAATTGTGATGTCTGGCTCCAGCCAGCCAAGATCAGACACAGCAGTAAGGACAACCCCAAATGTGTAAGGAATAAATATGTGTGTTTTCCTTTGTTCATTGTACTCTCATGGCAAGTTGGCTAGTGAGGGTACCCTTCCTGCAGTCCAGGAAGTAAATATTGCATTGCTGAAAGATCCTTTGTCTCAGTGCCAATTTTTCTTTGTGGCACCAAGCGTCTGTTTCCAACAAGTTCAAAGTCTCATCCGAGACTCAAAGCAAGTTTCTTCCACCTATGAACCTGTATAATCAAAACCAAATTATTTACTCCCAAGATACAATGGTGGCACCCATGTTGGGTAACATTCCCATTGCAAAAGGGAGAAATCGGCCAAAAGAAAGGGGCAACAGCCCCACACAAGTCTGAAACCCAGTAGGGCTGGCATGAAAATGTAAAGCTCCAAAATCATCCTTGACTCCATGTCCCACATCCTGGCCACACCGGTGCAAGCAATGGGCTTCCAAGTCCTCAGGCAGCTCCACATATGTGGCTTTGCAGGTTGCAGCCCCCATGGCTGCTCTCACTGGCTGGAGTTGAGTGCCTGTGGCTTTTTCAGTCTCTGGGTACAAGCCGCTGGTGGCTCTATAATTCTGGGGTCTGGAGAATGGTGGCCCCTTTCCCACAGCTCCACTGGGCAGCGCCCTAGTGGGGACTCTGGCTGGGGGGCTCCAACCTCGTATTTCTCCCCGGCGTTGCCCTAGTAGAGTCTGTGAGGGCTGTCCTGAGGTCCTCTGACATGACTTTGACCCCCTTTTCCCCATCATCTTGGCTATTAGCCCGTAACTCCCTTTTAGTCATGCTCATCTCTCTAGCAAGTGGTTTCTCTACAGCCCACTTGAATTCCTCTCCTGAAAATGCTCTTTCCTTCTTCATGACATGGTCAGGCTGTAATTTTCCAAGCGTTTATACTCTGCTTCCCTTTTAAATACAAATTCTAACTTTATGTCATTCTTTTGCTGCTGTATCTGACTGTAGGCTTTTAGAAACAACCATGCCACATCCTGAATCCCTTGCAGCCTAGAAATTTCTCCCACTAAAAATTTCTTTCTCCCATCAGAAATTTCTACATCATCATTCTTAAGCTAAACCTTCCACAAACCCCTTGGACAAGAACTCAATGCAGCCACATTCTTTGCTAAGGCATTACATGTTTAACCTTTGGTCTAGTTCCCAATCAATTCCCCATTTCCATCTGAGACCTCCTCAGCCTGTCCTTCACTGTCTGTATTTCTTTTTCTTTTCTTTCTTTTTTTTTTTTTTTTTTTTGAGAAGGAGTCTCGCCTTGTCGCCCAGGCTGGAGCGCAATGGCACAATCTCGGCTCATTGTAACCTCCACCTCCTGGGTTCAAACGATTTTCTTGCTTTAGCCTCCTCAGCAGTTGGGATTACAGGCAACTGCCACCACACCCAGCTATTTGTCTTTTTTTTTTTTTTTT